ACTGCACAGTCCCCACTGCACAGTCCCACTGCACAGTCCCCACTGCACAGTCCCACTGCACAGTCCCACTGCACAATCCCCACTGCACAGTCCCCACTGCACAGTTCCACTGCACAGTCCCCACTGCACAGTCCCACTGCACAGTCCCCACTGCACAGTCCCACTGCACAGTCCCCACTGCACAGTCCCACTGCACAGTCCCCACTGCACAGTCCCCACTGCACAATCCCCACTGCACAATCCCCACTGCACAATCCCCACTGCACAGTCCCCACTGCACAGTCCCACTGCACAATCCCACTGCACTGTTCCCACTGCACAGTCCCACTGCACAGTCCCACTGCACAGTCCCCACTGCACAGTCCCACTGCACAGCCCCCACTGCTCAGTCCCCACTGCACAGTCCCACTGCACAGTCCCACTGCACAGTGCCCCCTGATCAGCACCTAGACCAGGCAGCTCCCTGAACTTGCTCCCTAGCTGTGAGGCTGAACCAAACTGAATGTGGCCTCACACTCAAGTCCTCAGGTTGCATTGACTAAGTAGAGAACAAGCTTTTCCAAACAGGCAGCTGGGCTTTTAGTGCATCATACCAGGGACACCACCCCAGGATACACCAGTCAAGTACAGGACCCATTACCACTGTGAGGATCACCCAGTTTTAAATTGAAGTAAGTAAATCCTGCTACAAGGAATAACCATTCTTACAAAACAATTCATTCAGAAGAGCATGGCTTGCAGCAGCACGCAGAGCTCACAGGCCAAGAACTGAGGCTGCTTCCAGACAGGGATAGGCCCTAGCCAAGATAACTCCCTGTTGTACAGAGAAGGCATCATGGTCTAGTTGGACTTCCAAGACATGAGGAACCAGTACCCATTGCTGCTCCCAGGGGAAGGGGAGAGCAGGAGTTGGGGGTTGCTTCCTGGCTCCCACCCAAAGGTGGTTTTTGGACAGCCTGGCTCCTTGTTTCTCCTCCTAAAATGCACTTTAGGGATTTTGAGCCTCAGTATACAGCAGCCAGTGTCTGAAGGTAGGTGTGTGGGTCCTTACAGCCCCCGCTGAAGGCAGCTGGCAGAGGGGAGTAGTGAACACAGGGGTCTCTACCCCAGCTGGGACATCAGGAGGTGCTGGGCTGCAAAAGGACCCCTTCACTCCCTCTAGTGGGACTGTAACCCAATGCACCTTATCTGAGATTTCGTCATCACATCTGGCACAGTCCATGTGAGAACCCCCCACACACACACAGCTCTGCCTCCTACCTGCTGCAAGATATAGACTCTGCCACCAGGCCCTGTGTGCCTACAGCTGGCTGCTTCGGCTTCTCCAATTGTCCCAATTGCTACATCCCACAATCTCCTGTGTATAAGGTACACCCACCAGAGTCCTGTCCCAGCTCCACAGACAATCTGACCTTCTCAAGCCTGTAGGCCAGGCCACTCTTTGCAGGCTTCCACTGTCCCTGCCTTGGGGGATAGGTGTGTGACACAGGCATGGGAGGAAAATGTTGGCTGCACACCTGGAACAGTGATGGTCAGCCCAGGAATGTGATGCCTCATGTGAAGTCACATAACAGAACTCAAGCCTTCTGCTTAGGCATGAAGCAGCTTAATTATCCATTTCCTACTTTCCCAGTTTGGGGCATGAAGAGTGTCTTTGTCCTTGCTCTCCATTTTAGATTCTTACTGCATCAAGGGAGAGAGATGGATGCCTAACTAGATGCCACAAATGACACATAGTATTCCTCACCTTATTTTCCAAGGGGAATGCCAGTAGCCTACACCATGGTGAGGGGCATTAGAGCTGGGCCTTGACTGGCCTCCTCAGAGAAGCAGGGGCTGAGTTCTCTTCTGAGAGAGCAGTAGCTAGTTATCCAGCCTCAGGGAACCACATGGAGACTGGAAGACCAAGAACACAAGTGAGGCCTCAGCATCCACTGCTATCCAAGGAAAAGGGACTCTCCAGGTTGATATGTGTAGCTGAGGAAGCCTGGTGATCAGAGAAGGGACACAGTGTGTTCCTGGGCTATGGGACAACTGGGAGGAAGTGTTCCATGAAGGGGTTTCTGAGACTGTGATGGATCTTCCTCATGGTCTCCTAGAACAGAAGAGGGGAGCTCATGATCTACCCACCATGGCTGTTTCCGAGTGCAAGTTCTCAAGAAGAAACTGGTGCCTGCCTGGCCCAGGAGAACCTACACATCACCTCATTGCCCCACCTAGCCCCAGGGGAAAAGGATCTTGTTCTGCTCCATGGAGCCCTAGCTAGAGTAGGGAGAGGGTCAGCTTCAGAAAATGGAGGGAACCCAGCAGGGTGATGAGCATGAAGGCTGGCACATCTACAGACCATGTCTACCCCAAAGGCCCAGTCTCAACCCAGACCATGGATACTACCCCAATGCTGCCTCTGTTAGTTGTTACAGTTCCAATGTGCCCATCTCCTGAATGTGCCTCTAATTCTCTCAATAGTATTCTTGGGGATGGCACGACTCTAGATCTGACACCATGGTGTCCCCAGAGGACAGGATGGTACCATACACACCTCCAAGGACAGTAGCTTGCAGCCCTAAATACTGCCATGCCTGCCCAAACTTACCAGTTGGGATCATGAGTAGCCTGTCTGCAGACAGCACCGAGGTCTAAGTCCAAGGCTGCTGCTGCCAAAAAGAGCAAAATGGAGAGGGTCCAGAGGCCAGGAGCATCCTCAGAGCCCAAGGAGTCAGACAATAAAGGCAAAACCAAAGCCCCCAGGCAGAAAGGTCTGCAAGTTGAAAGCTAGGTGACTGATGCTTTCAGGGGCACCTCCGGTAAGGGAAAAGCCTCTGCTAGAAGAGAGATGCAACCCAGGCTCTAAGATGACTCTGGGCATCTCAGGGCCACTAGACTGGGATCTTGGGCTCTTAATGTCATGTTCTCACCCTGGAGGAGGTATGAGCTCCCTTGGGTCTGCTCGGGAAAATGAGGATCCATGCATACAGAACACAGTGATTCCCACCCACACTGGGATCAGAACTGAGGAGAGCAGGGATCTGCCATCAAGGTATCAGGTAAGCAACCTCATCTCCAGCCAAGGGGTCATCAACCCTGGCTTAGCTGGACCAGACTCAAGCAGCCTTTCCTGTAGGGCTGGGGACAGTGCGTGCTCGGTCTGGGAGGGGTGTATATAGCGCTGGCAACAGTATGCACCTCCCACTATTGGTGCTATCAAAGGAAGCAGCTATAACCGCCCCTGCCCCTACATTCCCTAAATGTTGCTGTCACTCTTCTAAAATTCTCACCAGCTCAGGCCTGGGTGTATGTGATCCTGGAAGAGGAGGAGCTAGGCTCACAGGGAGACTGCTTGACAGAGCCTAGGCCCATGGGAGGAGAACATAGTAGCAAGCTTACTTCTCCTTACAGGGTCCTGGAATGTCCATGCCCTCACTAGGTCAGAGGCCCCTGGAGGAAGCAGCTGGAGCCTGGAGGTAAGTACATGGCCTGCAAAGGGTGGGGCCAGAAGTCAGACCAAAGGGGATGATGATTCTGGCTTGGGAAAAGACTGTGCCTCTCAGGACTTGGGAATGGATGCAGGGATAGAAGCACAGTTCAACAGGAGGCTGGGCAAGTACTCAAATACTGAGAGGAGAGACTGTTCAAAAGGAGGCAAAGAGGCACAGCATGCTCATGGCTGAGTCATCAGAGAAGGGTCTTCCAGTCAGCCCAGAAGGGACCACCTTTGCTATGCACTGTCCTTTGCCTTAATGGTCACCTCACCCTAGGAGAAAGATGAGGTTGGACAATTTTAGGAACTGGAACTGGGACTCAAATGTTTGCTCCAAATGACTCCTGGAGATTGACCATTTCTCCTATGCCCTACAGATGATCCAGGAATCTGAGGCTTAGATAAGGAAGTGGCCCAAACCACAAAGCAGAAAATCTTTCCAGGGATTGCCACTGACTCAGCCTCCTGTCCAGCCTCCCTCCATACCTCAGGTGAGGGAACATGACTTGCGAGGACCTAGCTCTCCCATCTGTAAACTCCGCTGTAGGGCTGGGGACAGTGCGTGCTGGGTCTGGGAGGGATGTTTATAGCGCTGGGAGCAGTGTGCACCTCCCACTATTGGCGCTGTCAAAGGAAACAGCTACAACCACCCCTGCACCCAGGGGGAGACCTGAAGCCACCAAGGGCTCACATAAAGTACACTAGGGGAGACAGTGGCTGGAGCTAATGGCTTTGTCAGAAGCCAGGTCAGGTAGACTATAGCCAGTCCCAGAAGGTTCCCTGCCTCATAGTCAACACCTACCTAGGTACAGAAGCCCAGGGACAACAACTACCTTGTGTAGCCTCCTCAGTGGTTGGGGTATCTCCGAGGGATTAGACACTGCAATATCAAGGGACAGACTGCCAACAAAGTGTGATATGGAACATAGGGAGACTTCAGGGGAGGTAACTCATAAGGAGATTGAAGGGGAAGGGGGTTCCAGTCTAAGGAAGAGGTGGCCAGTGCAGCAGGAGCCTGGGCCAGCAAGATCAAGGACAGTAGGTGAGAGGAAGAGCGGTTCTCAGAGCTGAAGTCAGACAGACCATATTCTCATCTGAATACTATGCACTTAGTTGGAAGGTGCCTGGCCTGTGGCCCTTGTAGCTGAGAAGCCAGGGTCCCCAGAGGTTTGTGATAGGCACCTATCTCATCAAGCTCACATCAGGCATAACAATCCTAAAGCCTGGAGGTCCAGGAGCCAGGACAGGTGGTTCCTGAGGCCAGCACTTATTATCTTCTGTAGCCCTCACCAGGCAATGGGAACAGCTCAGGTGGACAGGACACCCAAGGCCAATATAACAACTTCCCTTTCCTCTCTATCCCCAGAGATCCTTGAGGAAAGCGATGTTCCTGGCCTGGTGCCGCCTGCAGCTGAAAACCAATGTAAGGCCCATTGTTTCAGGTTAGAGCTGGTGGGGGCCACAGGAAGCCCCCAAGTAATGCCCTATGTCCCACTTACTGCAGATCCAGAATCTTGAGTGAGGACTGTGTCGATGGACAGAACAGCCTGCGCCAGAATGAAGGCACTCAGGGTTGTCCTCCTGGTCTTGCTGCTAAGTGGACATTCAGGTGAGGGTCATCTCAAGAAGGGAGTGGTCCAGTCCTAACCCATGAGTACCTCCAGGATCCCCTTATCCTAGGGACAAAGAATAAGCTTGGGGAGGAAGATGGAAGGCCCAGGGCTCTTTCCTTCTGGCAGCTGCAGGCCTGACTGCTTCAGCATTGCCGGAGTGGGGGTGGGGAGAATTCTATTCTGTCTCCTTGTAGCAAATGGAAAGGATCCAGGAAAGAGGGCATGTTACCCCGAATGTGTCTTCTGCATCTGGATATCCAAGGCTCACAGATGTCACTGTACCACCAGGGAGCAGGAGGACACAAGAAGAAGATGGTGATGTGGACTTGGGGCCAGAGAGCTATGGCTACGATGATGACTATGAAGAGGAAGAAGAGGAGACCAACATGGTCCCTGGCAGCAGGGACAGAGGTACCCCACCCGAGCTGAGGGCCAGCTTCCTGCTCTGCACAGAACATTCCTCCATCACTTACCTGAGGGTAAAGCAGAGCATGCTGCTGGCATCCAAGCCAGGACACCGGCTCTCCCTTCAGGCTTCAATTTTCTACACCCTGAGCTGACACTCATGTCTGCCCCTCTCTGCCTACCTGCTTCCTTAGCCCGGGGCTTCAGCTTATCCGCCCCCCATTTTCTATCGTTCTTAATAGCTCAAGGCACAAGCTCTTTCTAGAGTGCTAGTGGGTGATGGGTGGTGGGGGCAGATACTTGGAGGCCCACTCTCAACCTGAGCTGGCCTGCTACCCATAGAATCCTTACAGTGCTACATCTGCCAGTCGCTACACAGTGGGGAGAGCTGCAACCAGACACAGAGCTGCTACCACAGCAAGACCTTCTGCACCACACTCATCTCCCATGGCAACACTGGTGAGCGTTTGGAGCGGCACACCCAGGGAGGGGGTCAGAGAAGGAGCATGCACTGACACCCATGCCCTGCCCTCACCACCTGTTCTCCACACCTCCTAGATAAAGGTCTCCTGACCACCTACTCCATGTGGTGTACCGATACCTGCCAACCCTTCACCAAGACAGTATCTGGCACCCAGGTGACCAAGAGCTGTTGCCAGTCCACATTGTGCAATATTCCACCCTGGCAGAGCCCTCAAGTCCAGGACTCTCCGGGTGGCCAAGCAAGCATCCCTATGGATGGTGGAGCCAGACATCCAGAAGGTGGCAGGGTTGGCCACCCCCAGGTTGTCAAGATTACCTCTCCTCAGAGTGATGGGGCTAGCTTGCCCAAAGGTGGAAGGGCTAACCGGCCCCAGGGCAGTGGGGCAGGATGCCCACCAGGCTGGCCCAAATTTGGTAACACAGCCCTCCTTCTAGGCCTCCTCACTAGCGTATGGGCATCGGGGGTCTGAAGACCTACCCTCCTCCTAGCAGGATACCCTGGCCTCCCCTCCCTGACAGCCACCTTCAGAGAATAAACTTGAATTTCTTTTGTAATCCAGCTAGTTGTAGTGCCTCTGGCCATTCTCTGTCCTCAGTTTCACCCTCAGGCCTCCTCACCTTCTTCTCTCCTCAGCCATGCCTCAGGTCCAGACGTCTCCTGCCTGTGCTCTAGGGATGGTCAGCCTACAGGGGCCCCACCTGCCCAGCTGCGTGCAGTGATATTAACAAGCCTGTAAGCCGAATTCTCTTTCTGAATTTGCCAGCATGAAATTCTTCCCCAAAACCACCTTCTAGATAAACTCAGCCCTTTCACATGTGTGAGGTGTAGGGTGAGCCTCCAGCCACCTAGAGAGATGGGAGGGAGACCAGCAAAGTTGCAGGGTTGGGGTAGAGGAGGCAGAAGAAGCAGGAAGGCCCAGCTGCTAAGTAGGGAATTTTCTAGCTGCAACCTGGCCAAGAAATCCATCCTTTTAAGGATTCCAGGCCCTCTCTCACGGCCCAGGCCTCCAGGAGCCCAAGATGAGGTCTGGGGATGAAAAGGCCCATGGGCTCTGGTGGTAGAGAAATGGATAACACCCATCCCTGACTGGTGGGTGGGTACCTTTTCTTCCTGAGGGAGGCACCTAGCTGTTGGGTAGGTGAGTTGGGTAGGGAACCTGGCTGCTTGGCAGATGGGAGATCCTTGACTGGGTGTAGCCCTTATCCACTGAGCTCTTGGCTCCCTTGATAGCTCAAAGCTATTCTCCCACCAGCAGTTGTTGCCAGAACAGATGTCTGAGATGAGAAAAGGCTAAACCTGGGCCTCAGTCTCCCCACTTATGAATGAGGCTTAAGGGACTCCTAAGTGCCTGTAGCTCAGAACCAGAAGTCTAGAATCCTTTCCTAAAAGTCAAGTTTGTTCATTGGCATGCAATAAGAAACCTCTACTGGCTGGGAAGTGGTGGTGCATGCCTTTGATCCCTGCAATTGGGAGGCAGAAGCAGAGGCAGGCTGAGTTCCAAGCCAGCTTGGTCTACAAAGCAAGTTCCAGGGCAGGCTCCAAAGCTACACAAGAGAAAGCCTGTCAAAAGAAAAAAAAAAGAATGAAAGAGACAGGAGAGAGGAAGGAGAGAGGGGGGATGGAAGAAAGAGAAAAAGAAAGGAAGGAAGGAAGGAAGAAAATGTTGCTGAAAGTTTTCCTTCCAGTATGGTCCTGCTGCCACTTTACAGCCCTAAAGAAACACATAGACACTATATTAGTTATAAGACTGTTGGCCAATGTCTAGGGCTTCTTATTGGTTAACTCTGTCTTCATTATTAACCCGTTTCTATTAATCTATGTATTTCCACATGGTCTATACTTACTAGAGAATGCCTGGGTATGTTACTCCTTTTGGCAGCTACATGGCGTCTCTTTCCAGTCTCCCTCTGCTTACCTTTCCCAGAATTCTCCTCATCTCCTAGTTCCGCCTATCTTCCTGCCTCTACTGGCTATTAGCCAAACTGTTTTATTTATCAACCAATAAGAGAAACATATATACAGAAGGACATCCCCCATCAAGGAAGGAATGAAGGAAGGAAGGAAGGAAGGAAGGAAGGAAGGAAGGAAGGAAGGAAGGAAGGAAGGAAAAAAGAGAGAAACGTTTATTATCCACCATTTCTCCTTTTCCTCATTGATATGGAGTCAGTGCCTAGCTGGGCCAGCCAAGGACAGGGATCTTGGGTGGAGGCAGCACCTCTTTCTCTTTCTCCTTCCTCCTTCCTGCTGAATGGAACTCAGCAGCCATTTCTACCACAAGCCATTTCTACCATGACAATGGCAAGGCAACATGGAAGAAGGTTATGGATCAATAAACAGAAGGCATTATACTGACTTTGTACCTCAAGATGCCCTTTTCTAGGAGGGCAGTAAACTCCTTGTTGAAGCCAACTGTCTTGATTTTTGTTTGCTCCCATTTTCACACACAATCCTACACATAGACTTGCCTTGTAGGTGGGCCTCATTATACACACAGACACAGCCTTCCTTGACCAGTACACAGCTGAGGAGTCAGGCTGCCTGAATTTAAACCTTCAATCCACCCTACCAGCTCTGTGACCTCTGGGACCCACATGCACCTCATCTCCATGAAGTGGGACTGCAGTGTACTCACTGAGTGCTCTAAGCCTGACTGTCCATAGCACACTTAGTACTCATGCTCTATTGGCTCATCAGATACACCAGGATATGTATTTATTGCAAATGCTCTAACTGTGCCAGCTCCCATCCCTTGAGGCCAAAAAAAAAAAAAAAAAAAAAAACCCTCATTAACCACTCCCAGTTTGGGAACACCAAAACATCAGCCTCACTATCTTCTTCCAGGGTCTCCACTCCTGGGGAAGCAGGAAACACATCTGGGTTCAAGTAGGGAACTATGCAGGTGGCACTGAGCACATATAATAGCTTTAGAAAGGAACAACTTGGAAATAGAGAAGTTTATCTCCCAGCACCCATCCCTACCCACCTGCCACCCACCACACACACACACACACACACACACACACACACACACACACACACACACCATGAGCCACTGGAGCTCTAAGGAAGAGGGGTGTGCTGGTGAAGATAGGTGTGGTCAGGAGCTCCTGACAAAGGAGACAAGCTTAGACAAGGCAATCTGGCTCAAGGTTACATGGTAGTGGCTGCAGAACCAAGACCCATTCCTAGGGATTTTTGCCATCTGAGGGATAACACAAGCTGTCAAGTGAGGTGAAGCCAACAAGAGACTGCTGCCCCAGAGGCTAGGGAAGCCAAATTGTGTGGAAACCTGCTGATTTTCTACAGTTCCCAGCAGGTCAGAGGTACCAGGCACAGTCAAGACATTCTAGACCCTGTCTCAGAGCCCAGTGCAGGACATCATACCAAGAAAGAACAACAGGATGTGAAGGAAGGGCCATGCCTAATCCTGCAGCCAGATGGGAAGGGGCATTGTTGGGTCCTGACAAGGTTCCCATCTGGGTCAGTTTCCCAAGGCTGCTGCAGGTTATAGACTCAGTAACTTTACAAATCCAAGCTTATGTTGCAGAACTGGAGGAGGGTATGGCCTAGACTAGCTTCAACCTGCAGTACTCCTGCATGCTAGTGTCCAAAGCAAAGCTTGGATCTTAAACGTCCTGCAGAGACTGGTGTTGAAGGCTTGGGCATGGACATGCGGCACTGTGGGAAAGGGTGGAACTTTTTAGGATAATGTGTGTGTGTGTGTATGTGTGTCTGTCTGTCTGTCTATCTATCTTAGTTACTTTTCAATTGCTGTGAAGAAACACTACAACCAAGGCAACTTACAAAAGAATTTATTCAGGCTTACTATTCTAGAGGGTGAATTCATGGCAGGGAGCATGGCAATGGGCAGGCAAACAAGGTACTGAAGAAGTAGCTCAGGTTTACATCTGATCCACAAGCATGACACACAGAGAGGTGACTGGGGATGGTGTGGGCTTTTAAAACGTCAAAGCCAGCCTCTAGTGACGCATCTCCTCCTACAAGGCCACACCTCCTAATCCATCCAAACAGTTCTACCAACTGGGGACCAAACATCAGAACACATGAGATTGTGGGGACCATTCTGCTTTTTAATAGTCTTCCCACTGCAACTCCCTGGTCTATCAGCTATGACACCCACACACAGGATAACAATAGGGACAATGGGCATCTAATACCCATACACAGCCTCAGCCTGTGCCCTCAGCCTGTGCCCGCAGCCACAGGCACAGGAAGTAAAGATCCCAAGGATGGAAGGGGGACCTGAGTGCAGACAGACTGGAGAAGGTTCAAAAGACACCAACAATAAGCAGGACTCAGCCCAACACCTGCTTCAGGATGGCTCCTCACACTTAGGGATGGCTCCATAACCACTCCGAGGGGTAGGGCCAGGGTTGCTCTGGGAAATAAGCAGCCATCCTGGAGTTTAAAGGTTTTTTTCCTTGGTATACCCAAATTTTTTTTAAATTATTTTTATTGATTATTTGGGAATCTCATGTGATGCACCCCATTCATGCTCACCTCTCAGCCTTTCCATGTCCACCCTCCTTCCCTTTTGAGCTCTTCCCTGCCACCAAAAGAAAAAACAAATCCATTTTGTGTTATCCATGTTATTCACTGGAGCAGTCAAATTCCTAGTGGCCATCCCAAGGGAGGTGAGTCTTTCTCAGCCTGTATCCAAGCCAGAAGCCCTCTGCTGAGCAAAGCCATGCAGAGGTCAGAATGGGGTGGGACTAGCTCTCTCCCATGCTACTACCAGAACTGCAGTTCTGTGTTGGTAAGAGGTGGGGTCAGCTCTGCCATACCCACAAACATTAACATGGCTTCATGCATCAACCTCAACCACTGAACAGTCACATAGGCTTCAGTGGTAACAGTGGCCACAGACATCAACATGGCCCTTGGCTGTATCAGGATCATTGACCCATTCATGTCTCTCAGCAACTGCAGAGACCACCATCCTCAACAAGGTTTCAGGTGGTTACACATGCGGCTCATATCAAGATGCCTCCCTTCCCCACAAGGCAGCAAAGCCTGAGGATATCACAGAGGCATCAAGCAGAGACAGACTATGTATGTCTACATGGATCTCAGGCTTCAACACAGTTTGGGACAGTAGCATGGACCATTGGCATCAACATGGACAGTGGTCCTTCCAGGGGGTCCAATCCAGAAAGTGAAACTTTCCTCATATCAGGCCTCCATCATTGCCCACAGCCAGGATGATCCTGCTGCTACTGGGGGCTTAGTCTGTGTCTGCATAAGCTCTAGGCTATTGTATACCATCCCAACAACTCTGCTGGGTAATGACAACATGTTGATCTCAGCCATCTTTCTCATTTGTCATGGCTATCTCTTTCTTCTCCAGTTCTGTCTCTGTTTTTCTGTCTTTCTCAAAGCTCCATCACATATTTATTTTTTTGTAGTGGTTCACCTGGCCAGCACTTGCTTAGGTGGCTTCCATAGATCAGGCCGGCCTCAAACTCATAGAGATATGCCTCC